GGAAGGGAGAGTAGCAATGTATAGGATATGTATTTTCATTCCAAACCAAGACTATTTGAAGACAATAGCTTGAAATAGTTCTACCACCTGTGTCTTAAGTGATTCCCACATAAACCCACCTAGCACATAGAAGAATCTTGATAAATGTGTTTTGAGTGGATTCAAGACATTGCTTCTAGCCCTCCATGAGTCATTTTTCCTTGGATATTGTAGACAATGTCTAACTTAAAACCTTGATGCCATACTTCTCCTTGCCCACCACACTATCGGTTGATTAGGTTTCAGTGCAGGGCTCGCCATTTGTTCCTGTTAAATTTCATCTGATAAGATTTAGCTTGTTGTTACATATAAAAAAACTCATCTGTCAAAATCTGAGCTTTTAGGGGTTTATAAACTTAATATGTCAGTAGATTGATGCCAAAAACAAATCCTAAAGTAATATTAAAATGCATCGAAGGATATAGAATCCACGACAAGGAGGTAATAAGCTTACTCCAGTAGAGAAATCACTTGTCTCCTAAATCCTATTTGAAATTTTACTGATCGTTTAAGATTTAACCTAAAAGTCAATTCTCCATGAAAATTTCCCTAATTACCCTACTTTTAATGAATAGCCCTCACAGCAATTTGTATATACAGTTGTCCCTTGGTATCTGTGGGGGGGATTGGTTCCAGGACCCCACCCCCCCCCCCCTTCAGATACAAAAATCTGAAGATGCTCAAGTCCCTTAGTTGGCCCTCCATATCCACTGGTTCCACATCCGTGATACAGAGGGCCACCTGCACATAATTTAAAACATTTGTTATTTCATGAGTTTTATTTTCTTTCTATCTTTCACTAGTTTGTAAACTCTTTGAAACAAGAATCCGGGTTCATGCATTTTGGTATCTGTCTTAGATGAAGTTAGCTAGAAAAAGAGACTGAGATGAAGGTTGTTGTGTAAGTAATAAGATGGAGTACTCCTTGGTGAGCCAGTAAGGGAGAGAAGAAAGCAGGATAACCCAGGAAGAGAAGCTAGATAAAGGAATGCATTTAGTTGAAATCTCAGCCTGATCCCAGGGAGAATTCTGGAGTGGGAACAGCATCAGAGACTCCTCCCATCTTCAGAGAAGGAAGGCAGCCTTTTGCAGCTCCAGTTAGTCGTTGGTTGAAGGCTTCTCCCCCAGGAGGCAGTCATGACAGCCCAAGCATATCATCAGCTGAGGGCAATTCTCCAGAGAAGGATGCAGCTATGGGCTTTTAGTAGCTAACACTCACAGCAGCTGGGGGATGGGTGCCCTGACCAGGCAAAGGGCATCTGGGAAGACCACCAACAGCGCTTGCTACAGTTTCCCTCCAGAACCAAGAATGACATCTTACTCACATTGGGGTACAATGAGTGTCTACTGATCTGCATTTTTCAAAGAGTTCAACCAAAAGAGCAACTTTTCTATTCACCCAAATTTTTATTATTGGCTATTACTTATTTTTCCCTTACGTTTATGCAGCCAATGGCGGCATTAATTGGATTTGCAATTTTGTATTAAAGTAATAGGAGGAACACAAAAATCACTAGAATATCATAAAGCTCTATCCCTTAAAATATTTGATGAAAGCAATTTTATAGAATCTTTAGCCTGTGATTTATTTCTTTGGCTTTTATTTAATATACAAAAGGTAGGATTTGCCTTGATCAGCTTTAAAAAAAGTTAAAAGAAGAAAACATGGATCTGAAAAAGGAGCCACTCATGTAAACTTCTTTAATTTTCTGAGAATCCTCCAACTGAGATTCCACTGCCAAAAATTTTAAGTAATATTAACATTTTGAAACAGTGCCAAGCTCACAGAAAAGTTGTAGGTAGAATTTGAAGAGATGTTTTTCTTTGGTGAGCCATTTGAAAGTAGCTTGCTAACATGATGTCCCAACACCACAAAATTTTAATGTGTGTTGACTGTAAATAAGGATAATCTTCTAAATAACCACAATACAATAATCAAAATCAGGACATTAACATTAGTACATAACTGCAATCGAGCCCTCAAAACTCATTGAATCCAGTCATCCTGATGACATCCTTTAGCATAAGAATTCAGGTCAGAACCACACGTTACTTCAGTTGTCTTGTCTCTACTCGTCTTCAGTCCAGAACACCTCCTTAGTCTTTCCTGGATTTCCCTGACCTTAACAATTTTGCATATTGCAGACAATTATACTTGGAATTTCCCTCACTTTGAGCTAGCCTGATATTTGTTCATGAATAGATTCGGGTGGTGCACCTTTGACGGGACTATCACGGAAGCGATGCCGTGTTCCTCTCACTGCATCCCTTCAGGTGGCAGGATTTGTTTGTCCTCTTAAGGATGATATTCATTTTGATTACTTAGCCTGACAAGTTTTTCCACTGTAAAGTTACTCTTTTTCCCTTTGTAATTAATAAGTATTTTTGTAAAAGGGCATACTTTAAGATGATGTAAATATCTGCTTCCTTATTAAACTATTAACTTATTTATCTGTTCATCAAGATAGAGTCATGGTTTCCTGTATTATTCAATGAGTCACAATCTGTTACTATCATTATATGTCTTAATGCTCAGTTTCCCCAAAAGAGCCATTGGAGTCTCTTCAAGCTGGATTTGATGTCTTTTTGACATATTCCTGTCATTCTTTGGGCACTTCCTTGCTTTCTGGCAAAATAAAATGGTCATTTTTTACTTTTCTCATCCTAGTCCTGGAATCAGCCACTTCTCCAAGAAGCCTAGGTTTCTTTTAGTAAATAATGGGGTTTAAAAGCCAAGATGTGGGCACCAGGCGTGCTCCTTGCTCCTGGGGTGTTCTGATCCTAGGCCTTCTCACTAACAAACCTAGGGAATATATATATATCTCTCCACGAGTTCATATTGATACTTTCAATTTCAATCCAACACCCCCCCCCCCAGCACCCCGAGAATACATTCTGGTTTTCTTCATTTCCATATTTATAACTCCATTCTCAGTGATAAACCTGGTTTCCGTTATATTTAATGTATTTAATTATTTGATCAATCTCCCTGTGTATAACCCATCTACATTGTCAGTGCCACCCACTTCCTCTGCCCGGGTGCCCTCCTGACACTGCTCAGGTTGTGTCGTCCTACTTGGATTCATTGTGGCTCCATGACCACCACCACCCCTGCCTACCTATCTCTGCCCCACCTAATGGCTCTAAGATCAAATAGTTTAGGAAAGAAAGGGAGGGGAGGGGAAAAAGAAGAAGGAGAGACACTATGGCCAAAAATTTTATGAATTTTTTCAATATTACAACAAAACTATTTGTGTCTAAAATCTCATCTTTCAGAAGAAATGAAATATATTATGTATATATGTATACACACACACGCTAACTTTTATCTTGATTTTTTTATTACTTGCCAAAAAAGTAACCTGAAATTGGTCAGACTGAACATGGATGAAGCAAAGTAGTGCTCGTGTCATGGGCATGAACAGGCCAACAGGAAAGGTGTGCTTATGTCAAAAGGCAAAGAGCTCAGCCCAAGTTACTGGGGCCTGTTGATGGTTTGGGGGAGGACCAAGAGGACATCTCACTTATCAGTCATTCACTGAAACAAAGGAAGAATGAAAAAATAAGTTTATAGGTTTAATTTGCCATCAAGATGTGTTGCCATCAAATTGGCAACATCGAATTAGTCAAGGAGCCTCTGTTACATTGCAGCTACGAAACAAAAAGCATGTGAACAAAGGGAAAGCAAGCGCCCTACAGTGTTCCAACTTTATAGTTACTAGTCTTTAAAACATTCATCTAATTAGTTTTTAAGAAGTGCTACAGATTGTGATATAAAGGCCACAAGGTCAAGGGCATAGGACTGTGGCTGACATTAACTCTGGTAACCTCGGGCAAATCTCTTAACTTCTCTGGTCTTGCTATTTGATAGGGGTATTTTGAAGGACAAATTAAATATAAATACTCTTGCCATGTTTTGAACAAATAAGTGAAAATTAAATTTTTAGACCTCCCACTCTGCTCTGGGTACACTGGTCTCTTCCCTGTTCCTGAAATATGCTTGGTGCTCCACCTCAGAGCTTTTGCACTTGCTGTTCCCTCTGTCAGGAATGCTCTTCCCTTGAATATCCACAGGTCCTGCTCCCTCAGCCCCTTCCCATCTTTACTCTGATGTCACCGTCTTATTACGATCTTCCTCAGGACCCCATTTAAAATTGTACACCCCCCCCCAAACTTCCCACCTCCTCCCTTCCCTTTAATTTTCTCTTAACACTCATCACTAACATTCTGGAAACACGTGTCTTTTTTATTGCTGGTCACCTCCACTAGAATGTAAGGTCCTTAAGGGCAGGCACTCTTGTCAGTTCTGTCCCCTGCTGTATCCCCAGGTCCGACAACATGCCTGATGGCCTGGAGTGGGCACTCATTTGTCACATGCATAAATCAACCAACGAAAGAATGAACTTTTAAGTGTTCCCTTCTTCTTTAATAATGTTTTTTGTCTTTCCTCACAGGTGGAAATATAAATGAAAGAGCAGAGAAAAAAAAGGCAAATGAATAGAGAGCTTAAAGAAAAGTAATTCAAAAACTAAGAATGAGGAAGCCCTTATATTTGTAACGCCAAGTCTGAACTTAGCCGTTCAATGGGAACTGAAGCCACAGCCGTGCAATACAGACAGACTGCGCCTAAAGCAAGACTTGCAGATACAGCCCTTGCCATTCTTCTGGATTTTTCTCTGAGGCGCTCCCTGGTGCATAAACAGTCCAACATAATGTCAGCAAAGTAAAATGTTAAACTAGAAGTGCTAACATTTTTTTCTACGTGCTGAATAAATATACACCATTTGCTCAACAAATTATGTGGACTTTCTCTTTTAAGAAAAATAACCATGATTTAAAATGGCAAGTTCCACATTTGAGTTTAGGATTAAGTACTTCTGTGTTTGAAAGCCATGAATCTGAGAATCTTTCACGGCAACAGTGAAGTCAATATCTCATTAAGAATAATAACAAAAACTCAGTTGCTATCTCATGCTAATTTGCATATAGATTTATTTCATATATGTACGAAATGTATATATAAATAAAAAATAGTGTTGTCTCATGACATGAATAAATCCAGTCAGTGAATAACAGTCACACACAATGCAAAATCTTACTTATCGAGACTGAACTGTTACATATTGTACAAAGGAACCACATTTTTAAAAAGAGGACACATAAGACAGTTGCTGAGGAATGTCTAAAAAATACAGTATATGTCCCCACATTTGCATCAGGAAATTCATACTGACAGAAAATGCAGCTGAGGATATTTTTTATCATCATTTGTCAACCTAACAAACTTCTAAGGGTATTATTCTCATGCAGCTAAAGAACTGCACCTTGGTGTATTAGCCAGTCTCTTATGATCAGTACTAATATCTGTACTGTGCTCTTCAATCCAGTTGTCATGGAATTTCAAACTGCCTCAGCATCAGAAATTGCTGCCCTTTCCAGTACACAAACTATGCTGTGGGTTTGTTTAGAAACTCCTTGTTGAAGAATCTTCTTGCCTCAACATTACTGAGGGAAACAGAGCAACGAGACGGATTCTGCCTTCTATATTCAATGCTTTCAACGATGGCATTCTTAATCACCTGCAAATGGAGGCAAAAGATGGATAATTAGTGGTGCTCCGAACTCATTTAATCATTGGTTTGGTCAAAACAAAACTCCAATTAATATTTTTATCATACTACTCCTTTTGAAATAGAGAAATCTCTGAGTCATGCATGTGTATATTTAATTCAACATCCCACCATTACACTCTTGTTAAGCTTCTATCCAGATACTCTTCCTTTTCCCCCCAGAGAAAGAACTATTCAGGGAGTGTTCCAGACTTTGTGCTGATAAAATTGGGAATAAAATATTTGTAATATGGTAAATTTGTCTTCATTCTGTCCTTCATGGGGGAAGGTGATAAGAGGGAAGAAACAAGTAATGACTAAATCTAGAATTTATGCTCTTTACAGTTAATGGAAAAGTGGAAATGAGGGGCCAGATGGAAATAAAAGACTTTCCCCAAGTCTAATGCAGAGAGAAGTCATTGCTGAAGAATTGACGTACTTCCTCAGCTAAACAGACAGTTATAAAACATGGATGTCCTCTATCTAGAAAACACCATGCTTTGTGATTTTATTGATGATGGCTATATTTTATTCAGAATAATCTTTATATATACTCAAATTAATGGTGACTATAACCTCTAAGAATTGCTATTGCAGTTATATATTGTTTCTGGTAAGAAGTTAACCTGGTTAGGAACTTTTGGGAAGAAGAGAAATTTGGAATTTGGTTGAAGCAGTTGCTGTGGAGCAATGGGAACGAGCTTTGGAAGAGAGGCCTGGGTGGTAATCTTGCCTCTGATGCCATTTTGAAACCCTGTTAAAATCAAGAAGACTCCGTTCCCCAGGACAGGACTACAGGATTTCATCTAATGACCAATGAGATAGAAGTTTCAGGGCACAGAGGCAAGTCACAGGGATATTCCACAGTTCCCTTTATTCTCTATCCCAGGGGTTAAGCAACACGAAAGTATTACACACATGCTTTTCAGCACTCTGCCATGGCTAGGAAAACTTGGCAAGTCTGAGCAGTTTACGACCCCACGGTCCCCTCCCGCCCAGAGCTGGTGTGGCCCCTTGGCCATGGAGATGTGTGCACAAAGGAGTTTTCCCATCTCACATCCCATCTCACTGGGCAAGGCAGGTTCAAGGACTAGAGGAGAGAGGTGTGTGACCTGGGTGGTGCTCACACGCGATTCATACTCTGTGACTTTGTCAGGCCCAATGGGCAGGCCTCTCTACTCTTCAATGCTAACTTTAAACAAGAAGCAGTGATATTCTGGAAAGAGGGATTTATCATAGGAATGTTACGTATTTATCATAGGATTTATCTGCTCTATGATTTTTTTCTTTTATATATATATATATAATTGTCTTCTGGGAAAAATGGGCTCAAATGTTACTGAATCTTTTAGGTAAAGCAGATTTGCTGACCGCTTTTTTCCCATGAGTAAGGGAAACATAATTAATTCCCTGTGACAGAAGAAGCTTCAGGCCAATGCAGAAGACCTTGATCAACGACCTGGCCAAGGGCTGCCAGGCACAATCACTTCTTGGCTATGTGAGATCAAGGGAAATCAGCTTAAATCCTTGAGCCTGTTTCCTCTTTTTAAAAATGGGAATAGTAATACTAATTTTGGCTTTTGTAGGGATTGGAGATCATTTATATAAAGGACTTTGCACAATGCCTGGCACATAGGGAATATTCCATAAGTAGCATGTACGTATTGTTGTTGTTATTTTTAAACGGAACATACATGAGGAAATTTAGGAACTTTAAATAGATGCGAGGCTATAAAGTTTACTAGAAATAAACACACCATGCATAGCCAATGGTGGGCTTATTAAATGGTAAAAGTCAGCAAATCTATTCTGCTATCAGACGTCTCCTGCTACATCTTCTTTTAATAATCTCCCTGCCTTTCTGGAGATCACGTCAGCAAGTTTATCAGCTGCTTTCTCCTTCACCATAGCAGCGTGAGACACATCAACTCTATTGCAGAGAAGTAACCAAGTAAAATAAAAATCAATGATTTACTTTCCAAACACCAAAAAGTTTTAAAATATAAAAGACCACAGGGGAAATTATACTGATAATAACTGCTGTCCATTCCTTTATAACGAACTCATGAGCCCCAAAACTCAGCAATATCAGTAACATAAACTAGTGGATTTACAATAATTCGGCCTTGGCAGTTGTTTCTAGTAAACAGGTCATTCTTATAAAAGAAAATGAATATTTACATCTGCAACTCTGAAAAACCCAAATCATATGCGATTAGAACGTGCAAGCAGAACCACTAGGTGGCAGAAGAACGCTATGAAACATTAACCTGGTTTTTCAGATTACCGCAGAAAATACCCAAGTGCCGTGATTTCTAATCCTGTGATATAAACAGAAGAGGCTAAACTCAGCACTGTATCGGTCGCTGAATTCAAACCTTCCAGCATGATACACGGTACAACTAGATATATCCAGAAAGGCAAGATGTCAAATTTGAATCTTCCTGTTTTGAAAATTACATTAGTAATCTTAAATAGTGTTTACATCCAATTTCCTCTTTCGTTTCCCCCTGAAATTCACTGAGATTCCACATCCTTTCTGTCACTGCTATCCCTGTAATAGCCCTCATATCGCAACCTTCTCCACCCCCACTGGCCCTCCCTAAATCTGACCTATGTCATCTTCCACTTGCGCCATTCAAGAGCCTCCCAATTGTTGATCCAGATCCCTTCAATCTTGGGCAACAAAAGCAGAGAATAAGAAAAGAAAACATGCAAAATGTGGATCTCCTCCCCTCCAAAAAGGAACAAATTGAGAGATGTGAGATTGTAAGCAATCCACAAGCAAATATTGAGTTCCCACAGTAGAAAATTTTAAGTGAGCCCAAGAGGAAGTTATAGTACATTTTGAGAGAGATAAAAACTACAAATATAGAAGGCTACAAGAAGATATTCTGGTCTAAATTACCGTGAATTTGTTGGCTGTCTGCCTTCCCAAGAAAAATCGAAGTGTCATGAAAGCAGGGACCCTATTAGGCATGTCATTTTTGATCTCAGCACTTAAACCCGGAAGAGGCACAATAAATATTGGTAAAATTAATGAACACACAGGAGGTGCTCATTGGAGGTTGGAATAAACAGGATAAAGTTCAAGTCATGGGGACAATGAGACTTGAGTTGAGTTGAAGGACAGGCAGGATTTTATAAGTGGAGAGGCAAGACTGGGCATTCGCAGTAGAGGGATAATCTTATGAAAAGGCTAAAGATAGAATGTCATGGCATGTGGAGGAAACATCTGGAAACCAGCCTGGCTGGAAAGGGAGCTGTGTTTGGGGAATACTTGGGAATAAAGCTGCTGGAGAGATAGATGGTTCAAAAGTGAGGAAAGAGCAAGAAAAAAACCTGTGGCCCCATCTCAGCTCCTCGCATCACTGTGTGACTTCCAGCAAGCTGCTGAACAACTATGACTCAGTTTCCTCACATATAATAAAAATCTGACCTCATAGGCTAGTTTGAGCATTCGATATTTGAGGGGGATGTGGTTGGCTTACATTAAGCACTCAAAACTTCTCGTCGTTCTTTTTGTTTTGTGCCTTGTTGTATCCTTAGTTCCTAAAATCGTGCCTGGCACAGTAGATACTCAATAAATACGTGTTGAATTAATGAATAAATAAGATGAAGAGAGATTACAGGCAGCATGAAAGGTAGATGAATTTGGGCCTAATACATTAGGCCATGATACATAATAATCCTCTAAATTATTTTTAAAAAGAAAAAAACTTTAACTTGTACTGAGACGCTCTTATCATGATGAAGTATCAATAAATTAAGTACCAGTACTTCTGCATATGTGCTTTTCCTCATTTAACATCTAGTATTTAACACTTTATAGAATTGTTTGAGAAAGAATTTGAAAAGCTCATTATTATGCATCATCGGCATATGCTGAATAAACTGACACATAACAGGTCCTTAGAATATGCCTATCAAGTTAACAAATCAGTGAGTGGGTCTGCATAACAGTACATTTTCCTGTGATAGCTAGATCAACAAGGTGCTGGAAGAGAGATCTCGGAAGGTGTATCTCCTCCAGATCAAAGCAGCGGTTTGTGAGTAGAGCTTGTGGCCACACCACCTGACCAAACATACATTGCATAGAGATTCTACGGGGTCAGGGACTCTGCCTCCAACCAACAGACAGACCTTGTCTCCTGACGCTTCCTCCTATGACATTAAACTCTTGAACAGTTTCAGCCAGTAAGTCAATGACATTTCAAAAATCATCCATGAAAATTTTATTGCATATTTATTTTAGGTGCTGGGCATTGTGATCAGTATCTAGAGGACACAAGGTAAGTAAGACAAGTCATTGCTTTTAAAGGGTTTAAATTTACACCTAAAAGTAGAAGATAATATGACACGGATAATTATTATCATTATCATATTAGCTGCTTCAATTTATTGAGCTTCTCTTGCATGCCAAGCCCTCAAATTATATTATTTTACTTAATCCTCATTCTGAGCCTATAAAATATGTAGCATTGTTCCCCCTTACAAATGAGGAAAGGTTGAAATTTGGAAAGGTTAACCAACATTCCCAAGGTCACCCAGCCAAGAGGCTGAAAGGATTTGAACACCCAGTTTGGTGTGACTCCAAAGCCTGCGCATTTCCCGTATACCTCATGTCCACCAGGCTAAATCACCAAATGTTAGGTTTCTGAAGAAAAAAAAACAAGCCCAAACTCAGGAAATAACTTGTAAAAGCACTGAGGCAATGTTGAGTGAAAAGGAATTTTGGAGGATTGAGTAAGTGCAGAAATGTGGATACTAATGAGAAATGTAGGCTGTTGTCACAGAGCAAGCAGACGCAGAGCAGAGGCTCTCTACAGATGAACCGGAATTTAGTGTCAGCAAAGCAGGCCAGTGAGGCTTTCTGGGCAAAAAGAAGCAACAGAAGCATACAGCTGTCAGAGACACGGGGGCCTTTTCAGAGCAAAAATTTAAGTCAGAATGTGAATTGAGGATGAAAATTTGCCTCAAGCCCCAGTAGTCATGGCTACAACGCTGAAAACTGCAGTTTCGTTGTTATTTACTATCACTTACCAAGAAGCTTTGACTCTGATAGAATATGTCTTCTTGGTTAAAAGCAGAGGTGGGAGGGAGTCATCAAGATAGAGGTAAAATGTCAGTGAAACTGGAAGTCTTACCTGGGTATGAGGTGCATATGCACACACGCACACACACACACACATACAACCAAGAGTCACTTGAACACACATCTCAATGGCCATATAATTTAAGAGGAAACCTACATTCATTCATTCAAAAATATTTATTTACTGCCTAGGCTGCCATTACCTGTACAGACTTGTCTATATTCTTAACTCTGGGCATTTGCAAAGGTCTTGAGGTGTTTCCATCAAGGTACAGGACATAGACACGCATAGGTAAGGTTCCATTTATCGAGCAGCATCTGTCTGCAGCCCACTGTTCATACATCTCCTGAGTAAAGATTCCCTATGCCAGCATAACAGGTGCTGTTACACCTGTTTTGGAGATGGGGAAACTGAGGCCCAAAAAGTTTAAGTAGCTGTTCAAAGCTACACAAATGACCCATCTGAGATCTAAACATAATATAAAAGTCCATGACCTTCCTTCCACACGCCGTGCCAGACAGTTTCTTGGAAGCTATTAAGACCAGTTTAATTAAATGGTTTGTGAAAGATCAACATATGATGAGCTGTAAATCAGGACAGTTATTTTCGGAATTCAGTCTAGTTTTGTTCAGGCTTTAACTTTTTCATCTATGTGTCAAACAAACTACTTTAAAGAACGTTTATAAAATATATAAATAGAACTACATCATTCTTTATAGCAAATAGCTTAGCAGGTTTTATATAAACCAGAACTGAAAACAATGAGAGAAATGTGGTTAAGTTACATATGTGTGCATATATATATGCACACACACACACACATATATAATATATACATATATATCTATATATACACAGAGATAGCTATACATATGTGTGTGTGTGTATCCTTTTATTTTCCCAAGTCAAACAGGATATTTATCGATTCCTACAATCTATTTTTTTTTCCATTTGAGGACAACTCATCAAGTTTAACATATTTCATCCCAAGGAATATATAGTTTTGAGTTTATTGGCTTCAAACTGAACACACAGGATTACTCTGATATTACCCCTTAGTTCTCTTCTCTTTGAACAGAATGGGGTTCCATAAAACTCAAGTGTACTTTGAGAATGTCTGCTCTCTTCCTATGAATCATAGAGTAAGATGTCGATTTTCTCTTAATATTCTTTAAATTTTCACCATCACCACAGAAACAATGTAGCCTACGGATTTCAGATGTCCATTGTTTGTAAGATAGCAGAAAAAAGGAATAAATATATTTAGGAAATGATATACGCTATAAATTTCAGTAAGCATAATTTACATGAACTATCACATATTATTCACAAATGAAGGCCGATGAGAAAACATTTTAGAGTTGCAGGAACTGAAGCTTATTGGAGAAAATTTCATATGTCCACAAAAATTAAAGACATTGATTAATAAACATATTAGGTTTAACTGTTGTAATTGCACACAATTGATCATCACTAGTCTCAGGCCAAATTAAATAAGCAAGTAAACTAGACGTGCCAGAATTCTATTAGCTCACGAGATCTTATTAAATCTCATATAAACAGAACACTCATTCATACACCGTGTGTTCTTTTGCACCAGTCACACAGTCTCCAAAAAGACTGGCAAATCAGATACGATGCTTTTCCCTCTCCATTTAATTTCTTTCTCTCCTTTTCTTTTATCCTTTTTTTTTCTACCATGAAAAATCCAATTAGGCTAATGAACTTGGGCTTTCGTAGTTGATAACAATTTGTCAGACACTGATTTGGAACCACAAGCCAACATGATTCCAATTACACAACATTGTTTCTAAGTGCTGAGTTAGAGACTAAAGAATTTCACTTAGAGACAAAAATCTTAGCAGTACATACACTACTGACAGGAATGATTGATACTGAAGAGAATGACTTGTTTCTAAAATTTCTAAAGCGTGATTAGGCTCACATGTGTGGTGATGGACTATAATTAGTTTTCGGGTGGTGAACATGACATAATCTACACAGAATTCGAAATATATTACAATGTACACCTGAAAGCTGCATAATGTTATAACCCAAGGTTACTGCAATAAAAAAAATTTTTTTAAGTTAAAAAAATAAACTTTCTAAAGCAAAGTATACTTGATATCTCAAGGGCTAAAATGGAGAGTCTGCTATTTTGGGTGTCATCCCCGAGTTCACAAAAATAAAGACAAGTAAAAGCATGAGTGTATCCACTAAAACTTGTGATATTTTTGCAGATTAATTACACTTCTGGGACATTCACTTTCCTACTCTTATATTTCCTTTTTAACATTTTCCTTCCTATTTATAACTTATTTTACCATATAATGAATACATTAGATACTTTGGGAAAGAAGCTGAGTATTAATCAATTCTTTCATCCAAAACAGTATAAAATGTGGGTTCTGCCAATTTGGAGGCATTACTTTTCTTATTTGTGAATTTTAGAGGGTTCTTCTGGAGATTAAGAAAACAACTCATGAAAAATAAAATGGTGCGGTTTGGGTGGTGGCATTCATAAACCTTATTTGTATTTTAAATTAAGTAAAAAGAGGTATTGCCATGTCCAGGTGATGGGGAAGCATTTGGCATCGTCCATGGTCATAGGAGATACTTACGTCAATGTTGTTCAGGGTGTTGAAGTGCATCAGATCGTGCAGCCGTTTGAACGCTTGATTTGGATATTGAAAGTTGAAGGTTGAAAACGGTGATTCTGGGTCATCAAAAATATCAAAATCAGCTATTTCTTTCTCTTCCTTAGTTTCTCTTGGAACACCTAAATATCAGAAGAGTCTCAAATAGTGTTATTTTGAAAACTACCAAATATCTCTAAAACCCAGGGAATAAAACACACATATAGTCATAAACACAACACTGGGAGCTCCCACAGGGGTCATGTAATCTGTACTATACACTGTTGGCCCCCACTCACATTCCCTGGGTTTGATCATTTCTGTGTGTCCTGACTGGGCAACTTCCAGTTGTCAGTACCTGCACCTCTGTGCCTAAGGACTTTCTAACTCTCTTTGCAACTTTGGGAGGCTGCCTTGCTCACTAGCAGGAGGCTGGAAATTCTGGTAAATAACATTCCACCCCAGGCAGCAGGGAGTTAGGATATAAATACCCCAGCTCCCTTGCCTCTTGCTGTGTGAGTGAGAAGGATGACCCTGGAGCATAGGTTCTATTCCATTTTCTTAGTTTCCCAGTAGAATCAAGTTCTCCTCGTGCTAGAAGCTTACAAACACATCTTTGTTATCTGCCTTTCTTCCCTTTATCACTTTCTTGCTTCCTGTATGTCCTAGTTCAACCAAATAAACTATGTGCACTTGAATCCTCTTCTCAGAATCTGCTTCTGGGGGAATGCAAAGATGATAGAAAATTCTCTAGGTTTCAAGTACTCCACTGTTCAATAACTAAAAATGCCGGCCAATTCTTCCTTCTCTTGTGTTGAGGTATGACTCATGATACCCTCCACGCCTATTGTTCATTTCGCTGTCTTCCTCCGCCATCTAGAAAACATTTCTTTCTTCTTCATAGTCCCCTCTCAAATCTGCCATGACTATTTTTTGTGTCTTTCCTTGAACAACTACATTTTCTGGTCCTAAAATAATATTATTTTAGGACTGCAACACCCTGCCTGTCAACCTCTAGATCTCCTGTTGTTAATTAATATCTTCCAGGATACAGAAGAGTCCAGAGACTCCTCTGGAGGTGGTAAAAAAGAATGACTGTGCCTTGAACCTGAATCTCTTTTTAATGAAACGTAACATGGCAATCTCAAATTACTAGCCATGTTGTACTCCTAGATTACGTTAATCTTGTGGTCAGTTAAAAATCCCAACATTTTTTGTATGATTTCTTCTGAAACGAAGGCTCCCTTACAAGGGTGATATTCAGAATATTTAACAACCCCTAGGACAAGGGCAACAATCAATCAAAACAAGCATAATCAGAGATTCTGGAGTAAAGCCCCACAGATTTTTATTGAGCTAGTTGCTGATCTTTCAATTTCTAGGTTGTGAAGAACTCAGAGGATCTTGGAGTGAGAAAGAGGGAGAGTACTTGGGGTCTCAGGACAGTAGCTATTTATCAAGGTAAGGGAAGCGCTCATTATTGTAATAGCTGGTACAGCAGTGCCAGTGGGAATCAGCTTAATATCAATCTTGCTCCTTTACGAGCTTCCTGTTCTGTAGACTATGGCTCATTCCCAACGTACCTGGAGCCTTGTACTTCCTGAAGTTGATGTTGGCCAGAACAAAGTGGATGATGGTTGGGCAATCTTTCTCCACATCAGGATTCTTGGGTTTAAAGACATAGCACTCCTTCAGTCCTTCTCTATCAAACACATAAGGATCAATCTTTGGAAAGGGGAGCTTGTTCATTTTAGCCCACTTTTCTGCAAGTAGAAGTTCCTGTGGGAGAGAGAGAGAAAGATGCATTTGGGAATTTTCCGTCTTCATTTGTTCAGCTGGTCTAGCCATCATTCAATATTCATTAGGTGTCTACTATATGCTACCAGGATGCTCCTTGCTAGGATGAATAATGACTTTTTTCTTAAGAAGCTCATCAATCTCAAAAAAATATAAAAGTACTCCATAAACTCCCTATTCTTATGTCAATTCTTGGCACAAGGCTAGCTCCGTAGGAGGCATTTGAAATATTATTGATGAACTGAACTGAATGAAACTATGTTGATGTAATTGCTAGAGAAAAAAAATATGTTATTGGTTCTAGGCATTTAAAAGCCATGTGAATGTTATTTAACTCTTTGGAGTCGAACACCCTGATGAAGAAGAATGAGGAGCACTTTAGTTTAGTTAGTTTAGTTTAGTTAATGGGAGTGGCAGATTTTATGATTGTTTCTACATATTAGCTCCCTCCCTGGTACGAAGATTCTCCACCCTGACTAGAATAAGAACATACATGGGACAGAATCACACAGCTGATCTGCAGCTGCTGATGTATAACGTGACCAAGAAAAACATGTGTGGTTTTGGCCGCTGAAATTTTAGGTTTGTTTGTTTCTGCAGCAAAACTTGCTAACACAGTGGGTAAACACACACAGACACACACACAATTAAATTTAAACTAGAGAATACAAATCAAAATGGAGAGGTGCAGGAAATAGAGCTTATTTCTATTTATATGCAGCCTAAGGGGTTGTGGGACAAATAAGAAGCAGGCTGTCACAATCGCACAGACTCTGGCGCCAGGTTGCCTGAGTTAAAGTTTGAGCTCTTGGGCTGTGGGCGTGTTTCTTAATGTCTCTACACCCACAATCCTCAAATACAAAATAAGGATGACGATAGTAACACATATATCATAAGAATGCTGTTAGAATTAAATAAATTAATATTTGCACAGTATTTAGAACAGCGCCTGTCATGTATCACATGTTATACAAACATTTGATAAATACCATAAAAGAGAGCAAAAGAGATAAAAGGGAAAAATGAGGAAAGAAAAGAGGAAGAAAGAAGAGAGTTAGGAATGTATTAGGGAAATTTGCAGAGAAAGGCAGTTTTGGGGAGATGATCACTATAATCTTAAGTTTTCTTAACTACTCTTGTCATCACATTCAATCATTCCATGAGCATCATTAGTTGTGGATCTAGGCTTCATGCTGGGAGGGGGGACATAACAGTGAGTAAAACTCTTGCTGTCCTGGGATTTATAGGCTGACAAGTGAGAGACAGTAACCAAATAATGCTTCAGGTTTAAAACTGTGGTAAATGCTATGAAAACAGTATTTACCACGAGTATTCACCATGGGATTTGGCAGTATACCTGGACTATTTCCTCAGAGTGTGTATTAATTCATTCAAAAATTATTGTTGAATACCAGCTTTGTTCTAGGCATAACAGAGAAGCTTTCCTTGAATCCTTGGAGATTATAAATCAATGAGAGAAATAAATAATAGATATTATAGGGGCCAGCCCAGTGGTGTAGTGGTTAAGTTCACGTGCTTCGCTTCGGCAGCCTGGGGTTCGCCAGTTCGGATGCTGGGCATGGACCTACACACTGCTCATCAAGCCAGGCTGTGGTGGCATCCCACACGGAAGAACTAGAAGGACTTGCAACTAGGGTATACAACTATGTCCTGGGGCTTTGGGGAGAAAAGAAAGAAAAGGAGGAGGAAGATTGGTAACAAATGTTAGCTCAGGGCCAATCTTCCTCACCAAAAATAATAATAATAATAATAAAATAATAGATATTATAGTGCAGTATGATAGAGAATGGATGAATGTGACAGATGGCTTCGTGCCTGGGCTGTGCAGTCTGAAAAGCCCAGCTCAAAAACAGACACCTTACTAGCTGGGTGATCTCAGACAATCTGCTTAAACACCACAGCTCAACGGGGAAGAAACTATTTTGAGGGCTGAGTATGCAGTGATCTTCCCCTAATGGTACCACGGGGACCATAAGTAACAACAACCAAACAAACAAGCAAGCAGGGACCAGGTCATTCACTATCCCTGAAATAGCAGGCTCCCAATCCCATTTCATCTACATTTTACCTGTTTCTTATTTCTCTAGCAACTCATTTTCTACCACTGTTAAATAAAGTTAATACTATTGTCTCCCTCAGGATTACTGTCAGGATTAAATGAGATAACGTATTTTTAAAAACTCAGTAATTTATATTTAAGAAAACAGTTACTTTAAAATAGCACCTTAAATCTAGAGAAAAACATACTTTTCATTGAACTTTTACTCTTCTTGATGCTTGTGGAACATCATGAATTTTTGGTTGATCAACTCTCAATGCCATTTACAAAGACATAAAAATCTGGGAGAAAAAAGGACTTAATGTATATTAAAGCATTTATTTCATAAACTATTGAGCTAAATATGATTGTTTCACTGAATCCCTTATATATGAATAATTTCTTGTTTGAAACTTGAGAAAACTTTTCTCACTAACTTTTTTTTCTCCCTGTTCAGTTGAATTATTCAGCTTGTTACTTCTTATCTACCACGGTTCACGATTGTTCATTAAAGATTATTCAATATCAAAATAAAACTGAGAGTTCACTCTGCTTCAGTTGCGTGAGAGCAAAGAAAAGAAAGAGCTTTCTAGTGTTTACAAACATGACTCAAGAGTATGACCAACGATGTGTGGATACGGAGAAAGAGGAAAAGGGAATTGCGTGAGTGAAAGACCACGCTATTTTTAGACAGCTATTTCACGCTGGAATCAGGAAGTGAAGGAAACTTTCCCTTTCCTTATATGATCCTGATATGGAAAAGATTAAAAACTGATGACTGTAAAGACAGTGATTACAGGATGGAAAAACCATCTGCTCACTGATGTCTCATTTCTCTGTAAAGACTGAGAGACAATGACACAGACTATGAGTAGAGCAGACGAGTTTGAAAAGGCTATTTTAGAAGAACGCAGGGAGCGAAAAGATTTCTGCTCCACGAACTATAGCAACATGCCGGAACTGTGCTCTAGTATAACGATCCTTCGCAGCTGTCGTCTGAGACTTTAGATGCTTCAGATTGCACAGACTAATTCTTGGTAAACTGACACAGTACTAACTAAAATGATTTTCTGTGGAGATAAAAATCTGATAGCATCCTTCAAAGTGATACTTTGTAAGAAGTGTGTGTTCACTTTTGAGTGTTAAAACATCTTGAAGGACAGAAAAACCAATCTAAATAACAGAAATATATTCAGACTATAATGTGAATGGCATATGTATGCCATTTTATTTACTTATATACATATAAAAATATACATTTAAATATATAAACATGTATTAAATATAAAAATCTATTTACTTATATATTTATGTATACATTAGCTTTTCTCTAGAGGAAATGAGTTTTTTTCTTTGTACAAACCTAGGATATATGCTTTCTAAGATGTTTCTCATTATTTAAAACCTATTTTTAGACTGGGGAGAGGTATGATGTAAATAAATTTACAGAATCTTAAAAAAATAATGAAGCAACTAATCTAAGATAAAATGGATAGAAATTACAATTTAGCATTCATTATTTTGCAATTATGATCATTCTCACTTTTAACAAAAAGCATGTGGGTGTTGGATTCAAGAGCTATATAAGGCAATCGGTGTGGAAATAATTTTCTATACATAATAGTATGTAGAATTTACATAGCACTTTGCAGTTCACATTTCACATTTCACATTTGCAGTTCACTAAGAGGTTACCATAAATTCACAAAAATATGTAAGGAGAAATTAATGACGGATATATCTCCTCATAACAAGACATCTGATCCTCAATGACCAGTACAAGTGTAGTGGGTTGAATGACATGATGGCCCTCCAAAAGATAAATCCATGCCCTACCCCTCCAGGACCTGTGAATGTAGGAAAACTAATTTGGAAAAGGGGTTTTTGCAAAGGTAATTAAGTTAAGGGTCTAAAGATGGTATCATAGTGGATTATCTGGGGAGGGGAGAGGTGGGGGGCCGGTGCATAAATCCAAAGACAAATGTCCTTATAAGAGACAAATATCCTTATAAGAAAATACACACACAGAGGAGAAGACCACATGAAGATGGAGGCCAAGACTGGAGTTATGCAGCCACAAGCCAAGGAAGCCTGGAGCTACCAGAAGCCGGAAAAGGCAAGGAAGAATTCTCCCGTAGAGCCTTTGGAGGGAATGTAGTCTTGAGGACACCTTGATTTGGATTTCCAGCCTCCAGAACTGTGAAAGAATACATTTCTGTTGTTTTAAGCCACAATGTTTGTAGTAATTTGTTATGGCAGCCCTACTAGACTAATACAAGAGGTAAATCTGCAAATGCTACACGTAATAACACGCAGTTCCCTTCACCAGCTATGGCGGATTGAGGCCCACAGAGCTAATACTTGGACTAGTTTGGTCATGATGGTGTGATCCAACCTAAAAATCCTAAATAAATCATACGCAGAGGTTCTAAAATAAGGATCATGCTCTAAATAAATCAGGTTAGTGTGGAAAAATACAGATTCTTTTTCTGTTATTTGTGGGTTTAAATGGAATTTTGACCTTGAGTAAAATAGAGGGAGATAAAGTTAATTTAGATCTATTACTTCTATCATTTGTGAAGACTGGCTTATTTCAAATTTTCCCTCCTTCTTTCTTCTTTCCTCCTTCCCTCATTTCCTCCTTCTCTCCTTTTCCCCTTCTTTCTTTCTTTTTATTTTTAAAAGTATGAACCCATGGTTCTCACTTCTCGTCATTAAGCATTTTAAAGGGCAATGAAAAACTCAGCTGGATTTATGTCCAATATATAACAACATTATAGAAAATAACAATTTATAGTGTATTTCTAATCTATTGCTCTCCATAAAACTTAGTAAGGTAAAGGAAAAAAAATGTCTAGTAGTAAACTCTGAATTCTCCTATATTCTTTGCTTGTTCCTCACAAGATCCAAAGCTTTTTTTTCC